TGCACTTATTATTAGGTAAAGAAGGTTGTGCAAAGGTAATTTAATATTACCAACACTTTTCAAAAATATTGGTCGAGGCGCAATATATCTCGAGACAAAAATGTGTGCTATTCATGAAGAAAACTGAACAAAACTACAAAAGCATATAAACATAACCTAACTTCTATTATTATGACTAACCGCCATGTGAGTCATGTGACAACCGGCAGAAAAGAGGGAGAGAGAGAGAGATTTAATGAAATAACAAAATCTTAAAATTCTAAATTAATTTAATTTTATATTCAGGATTTATTTATATGTGTGATCTATTATACTTTTGCGAATTTTTATTTAAAAATGTTTGAGACTATTATAACTTATAACCATAAATAACTGTGTCGATAATTATCTATCTATAACATATCTAAGTTATAAAGAAAATTAATTTGAATAAAAAATATTTAATTATATTTTCTTTATATATTAAAGTTACAAATTTTTTTTTAATTGTTGCATTTCACAAAATACCATCAATCAGTAAGTTGCCGACTCACTATATCGGTAATTACAAATATTCATTATTAATGTTAGCAAAAATTTAAATTAAAAAATCAACAAAATCTCACATTTACAGAAATATAATCAACAATACATACAAAAATAGACAAATGAATAAAATATAAAAATGTCTAACTCTTCTTTTTCTCTTCTCTATTCTTTAATTTAGTACTTCTCTTTTCTCTTATGCTATTATAGTATAATATTATACTTCACTTTTTAAAAAATAAGAATTTTATCATACTGTATAGATTATTAATTTACTTTAATTATTTTAATTGTTAATTTTTTATTTCTCTGTTGGACATTACAAACAATGAAAGTTTATTAAATAGTTAAAATTAGTTGATGCTTTCATAGCGTTATGTTTGTTAAAAACCATTGATATTTTGTGTGTACATATAGAATGCTTTTTATGTTACACATTAATTTAATATTTTCATGTGTCATCAATTTCACTCAGCAATCGTCTGAATCTAATGATAAAGTGAACCGTCTCATTTTTTAACTTCGTCTCTTATAATCTGAAAAATAAAGATAGTGAAACAAAAAATAAAGGCAAAGATGTTTGAGATTTTTGAATATATTTATTTGTATGGACAAGTTGGAGCATAGTGCACAATATATTTAATATATAATAGTCTGAGGAAGGGGGATCAGAGTACATTCTGGAGTTTGAACACAATATCTTACAATTTAACGACAAGATGCCTGCATTTTTTTTCTTCTGCACCTGCTTCTCTGTACGTTATGTTTACTCGTATATTCATATACTCGAGATGTATAATATATAAAGCGTAACGACTCACTATTTTTATCATTCTAAAAAAAGGAGACGAGAATAAGGGTCCTTGTTTATTATGTTATATGTCTCAGTTCTCTTAACATCGTTTACCATTCGCTTCTATCCACTCTCATACCTCTCTTATACGTACATACATGCATACGTTCATCTATATATATTCATCCCTTTTGTTTCATACGGTTTTTCTCTTCCTTTTCGTCTCTTACTTTCTCCCTCTTGTTCACTTTTTTTCCTTTCTCTCATGATACTCTCACGATCGATTATGCAACGTCCTGGCAAATATACGTAGTACTCGCTACAGTGTCATATTCTCGGACACGGAGGTTGTCTCCAATTGCTAATTACATACGCTCCCTATTACACTTGGGCGAGTTGCGCGTCCCAGGGGGTTTCTCATTCCCACAGGGCGAGCGGGGACCGACAGGAGGAGTGCGAGGGTAGCGAAGACCTATCTAATTCTCGAAGTTGTAACCCGTCTTTCAGTATAATGTGCGATTCGCGTGTAGGTGCAATTGCAAGCTCTTTGAGCTTACGAGAAATGACTCTTCATCATCTTTCTCTTCTTATATCTTTTCTCCCTCTACGTATATCTCCTAATTAGCGATTAACGATCTATATTAAAATTCTTTTTTTTCCTGACTTACTGAAAGCGAATACATTTTACAGCCTGTACAATTGAGTGAAACGACGCGGCGCACTCGCTCATTCTTCTTCTTCTTCTTCTTCTTCTTTCACTCTCACATTCTCTCTTTCTCTTTCTCTCTCTTTCTCTCTCGCTCTTTCTTTGCACCTCCACTCGTGGAGGCAAATGCGGACCAGGGCAGGGTCCAGGTACTTAAGCTATCTCTCTGCGTGTTGCTTCTCATTCTTTTTCGCATTTTTTTTATATTTCTTTTATGTTCACAGAGATCCTGTAGAATATCGAGTCCCTCGATCGTTTGGTATACTCTTTCTTTCTCAGGTTCTTCCTTTCTTTTTACTTGTTTTTTTTTTTTACAAAAATCACAGAGCAGCACCAGCATTTATTTCTTTTAAAGCCCACCCCTTCGTCCGCTGGTCGCCCCACTAAAACTGAGGCTGAGGTTGAAACTTTTTATTTCTCTCATTCATTCACATGTACATACACCATACACGCACACATATACACAAAGTACATACAACACACAAAACATTTACACATACATCTTCTCACTCACATAAGTGTGCGCGCGCGTTTCTCTATCGCGGTTTCGCTAACATTCGGCAAAATGGATGCATTACGTTTTGCTCGCTCCTCCATTCCCTCATTTTATTAAATATCTCCTTTTGTTCTCTCCTGCAATATGAAACGCATCATCAGCCGTATCTTTTGATTTGGCATTTGCGAAACGCTGCCCGATAAAATTTTTCGCACCGCCGTTATCTTTCTGTTTTCTTTTTTTCCCTTTATCTCTTCCTACCTTACGTCACACTGACGATAGTAATAAAATAATATAATTAATAATCAATAATCGCATAATATATATAAAATGGATGACAATAGTAATTACTGAACAAACATTATGTAGTTTATAGATACATATATATATAGTTGCGTATGCATACGTAATTATACGTTTCGCTCCTCCTATTTACCTCACTCTCCAGACCTCGCCCCTGCACTTCTCCTCAGCCCCTTGTCCTCTATTTTCTCCCCCTAGCTCTCGCGCATCACTGGCTATCATTACCTTAGTAAACAAATAGCGTTCTAGCATCGAATTTACAGTCATTTAACGCCACTTAATTATTTAGAATCAACGCATTACGTGTCGCTTCGTTTTTCATTTTTTTCTCCTTTTGATGTCCTCGCGACTCGTCTTTATAAATTGTTCATGCCTTAAGGACGAGTTCCCTCTGGTCACGTTTATCGGCATTTAACGATCGGTCAATACACAATCATGAATTCTTCATTTATCTAAGAGATAAGTTATCAGCAAAGTTATACAATTTCTCTACAAAAATTGAAGTTTGCGCACGCCTAAATTCTTTATCTTATTTCTTTACAATAAAATACATCGATACGGAATCTATACGCACGCACATCCACACGCATGCATTATGCTTGTACAAGGCAGTCGACGCACGTGATTCGCTACTACTCTCTTACACCTCTCGTATACCCTATACATAATCGTTATATATATATTTATATCTCTCTTTCTCTTTCTCACACACACACACACACACACACACACACACACACGCACACGCACGCACGCACGCACACGCACACATCCACATGCGTTCGCTCGCACGCTTTAAGCTTCTCTACGCTCGATAAAAATTCCACCTCGCCTCGACACACACGCTCGAGTCTGAGAGTCGGGGGCGGAGCCGCGCTCGCACCCGGCACGCATTGAATCCTCGCCGCAATTTTTACCAGCGCGGCCCCATGGACGCAAGAACGCCGACGGTGTCGTTCGTCCTCGCGTGCTTCAGTCTAACGAGACGCCTGCTTCCTCGCAACCATTGTCGCGCATCTTCCATGCCTCGTTCCGGTGGATGGACCGCGCGGACCTTCCTCGGTCTATCCTAACTTCGGTTCCGAATGTCGCTTAGTTAATACTTCTCGGATCTGCAATTCTCCGTTCCATTCCGAGCTACCGGTCCCACAAGGTCTGTTTAGATCTAGACACTAGAAAGAAAAGAGAAACCGAGTGTTACCCAGAATCACCAGCACACATCAAACGTGGAATCATTGATATTTTGGATGGCGCTAAACGAATCCAGTCCACCGAAACGAGGCAACCTTTCGCTCGATCCCGCTCGAGGACCCTCGTCTCATGAGATAGATCGTACCCCTTGAAACTTTACAGGTCTCAATTTACGAGATAAGATCGAGCTCCTGATCACTTATTCTTACACTAACCGAAGGCGTCTGTACATTATGCGGCGCGTGTTCCTTAGATATACACTATGTACACGAAGAAGGATATCCAGCAATCTGATTTTGTCTGCACGAGAATCATGGATCCGCAATGGACATATGTGGCGTCACGATACTCAGGGAGTGTGATAGGAGGAAATAGGTCCTCTTGTCGCGCGAATCTGACATAATTCGATACATCCGAAGGATTGCTTATTCACGATCGTCTCGTCGAGCCTACTACTATCTGTTCAGATTGATCAAAAACAACTCTGTCCGAGAATGGACAACTTATTTGTGCGTCGAATCAAGTTCAGTCTCTTATCTTTCTCTTCTAAATTCGATATACATATAGTATTTTCCACATTTGCGCCTGATTTGGAAAGTCATGGATCTTCGTGATCCATCAGTCTTCCTGATTCTTTCCAACCTTTTAATATCATCACTAGTCATGATTTACAGTTTGTTTGTATATAGAATTTTCCTAATTCAGTCTAGTTCGCATGGACATGAATAATAACCACATAGAATGTATCTTCCCCACCCTGTATCTCATTGCCCTAAAGTTCCAATTAGCGTTATCAAGTAAGTGGACAACACTCCACATGGAACATTCCTTTTTTACTGACTATCACATCAGAGTTTTAATAATTCAACCAATCTTCAGTCCCATCTAGTCTTTAGTCCCTAATATTTGAACCTTCAGAGGAACGACAGCACCCATCATCTTGGTCATCGCTTCGTGGTCCTAACATCTTAACTAGCTTTTCTGAGATCCCAACTTCAAGCGACATCGAGAGAACGGGCGGCACAGAATAAATAAAGAACATCCCGGCCTCTTTACCGGCTACACTTTGGTTCTAATCCGGCCACCGTCAGCCGTTCTTTACTGGTTATTCGTTGGTCCTAATCCAGCCGTATAACGTAGTATAGAAAATACACGCGGCATCCTGCTCAGTATCGGCTACACCGCTCGCTCGCTCGTGTCCATGATTCCTATGGTTGCCTGCCGCCACCGGCGACGGTACCGTGCGGGTGTCCCGCACCGGGCGCACCGCTCGCCGCCGCCGAATGTGTGTGGTGGGCCTGTGCGGCAGAGTTGCCCCCGGCGGTTCCGCCGGACAGAACGGGGGCGGGGGCCGCGGGTCACTTGGGCGGGAATGGCGAGATCACCGAGGCGGCTACCGCGGCGGCCTGCTGACTCGCCAGCACTGCGGCTGCAACACACACAGAGAGACAGCAGGCCATTAATGTTTCGTCACGATTACTTTGAAGCATCTACTAAACGCGCGACTTTATTTTTTCCAGCTGTTACTGTTGCTTTGCTGTTTGGAAGATGGCGACCCGCGACACCCGAAACCGTGATCTAATTCGAAGCGCATTCCAGGTTATTGAGGACCAAAAAGGGAGAGACCAAGATTCGTCACCAACTGAGAAAATTCTTCTCATTGCTTATACAACTGGTTTGTATTATGTAAAACAAATCAATAAGCGTGTCGCATTTGGTGCAAACCGCGAAAAGAGATCGAAGATGTGGAAAGAAAACAGGGAAACGTCAGTGATTGAACGACTATCTAATAGCGAGTCCAAGAATAATTGAGGAGCATTGATTACCGATCGTCTATGATATCATAATATGAATTCAATACGTTACGCTAATTAAAATAATCGTAAAATACAGAGACAATGTAAGAAATTTAATAAATAAATATTATGTGTGATTAGAGAGAGAAAGTATCAATTTCAGATGAACTTTCTCCTTGTACTAAAGCGAACTAAGAACTCACACTACATAATTATAATGTTATACGATCCAATTTTCACACTGTGTCTTTCCAATCTACTCAGTGTCATTATTAATATCCCTAGATCCTGACAATTGATTCTGAAATTTCTCATCTAATAAGGGGCGGTAAGACGCAGCAGAAAGAGAAAGTGTATCTGTTGTAAAAATTGGCAAGCTTCTTGAAACAGGATCTTCGAAACGATCGTTAACGAGTGCAATCCTCTAGGAAATGCATCGTGTCCTCGAGTTCAACCACGCTTGAGGAAAAACCCGTATATTCGAGATATCTAAACACCGAGCTAATTCCATTACTACTCGAAGGAAAATGACGGATATGTGTGTGTGTGAGGAGTGGTGGGAAAGCATACAAAGTGGCGTGTACCTAAGCGATCGTTTCTTCTATCTTATTCTTCTCCCTCGTTCTTATTTTTGCTTCAATAATCCCGCGTCTACAATGCATTCCCTAAGTCGCGTGATTTGCGGACTTCCCTCGTTCACGCGAAAGTCCTGGCAGTGTTGGCTTCGTAAGCGTACACTTGGTCGATTAAATTCGCGGATTGGCAATCGTTTTCTGAGTACGAGAACATTGTTAATATAAAGCAAGAATGAAAATGCAATGAAGATGTTTCAGAAGAATGTTTTACAATGTAGAACTGTATACAATAGAAAGATTAAAGTTAAATTTTTTAACTGGTAATTTATCCAAAGAGAGAGAGAGAGAGAGAGGGAAAGAGAGAGAATTCTATACAAAGAACTTTAGATCCCAATGCTGCCATTCGGCTAATTACTTAAGTTACTTTTTGGCATCTTTTTTGACAATCATTAAAAAGTCACTACCAGCCAAAATGGGTCACTATAATTATTTTTTTAACATTAAATTTGTCAAACAAATATTTTATTTGATAAAGAAATGTCACTTTTGATTATTATTTTAATACCTGAAAGATTACATTCTCACTTTTATCATCAGAAAGCAGTCACTATTTTATTTTTTTTTCCAACGACTAGATGGCAACGCTAAATCCAAATCCATTTATTCCATTTCGATTCTCTATTTCTTTCAATAAGCAGGAGTACGTATTTCGTTTTTCCAAAGAGATCGAACATATATTGCATTTCTGTTATTTTCTACGGACATGTCTTCGTACTTCGATTTTTAAAATATAAAAGAAAGGAAAAAGACTAGTAGAAAGAAAAATGAAGAAAAATATCGCTTTTCTAACGCACATATATGTAGTTAATGATAAATTCCTGTGATATCGTTAAATTCATTGAAAGTTATCAATTTTTTTCAAAGGTATTACTTTAAAACTTAAAAATAATTGCAGATAATGGATAGTTAACATATTATATTTTTACAAGTCGCAAACAACATTCTCGTACACAGAAATCGTACACCACTCGTAAACGCAAAAATCAGAATTATAAAATTCTGATATTATTTTGCTGCAAAAGAAGCTATTGTGGAAGACTACCGAGGTCTAACGAAGAATACATGGATGCGAATGCGAATACATATCGCTTTCACGAGAGAATAAAACATTACAAATTAAAAAGAGTCTAAATGCCAAAATTTTGAAAAAGCGGTAAATTAGAGAAAAAATAATATATTTTATTTTTATATCCAGTATCAATAAAGTTGATACTGTTTATTATATGTATTTAATATTTGCGATTGTATAAGAGATGAAACTATTCAATTCTATTAAGGTTGCGAATAAAGTTACTATTATCGCTGAATATATATATATATATATATAAATATGGGCTGTCTCTTTTATCATAAAAATTCTTTTAAACTATATTAATCTCTTTGGCATCTAGACTTTTTAATTAGTTCAATTAAAGACTGCATTTTCCACGCAAATGCCACAATCAATATTAACATCAATGATAGCATCGATAGCTATATCAAGCTCGATGAGATCATTATCGTCATCGTTACTATTACACGCGAGTACCCATCACCCACAATCGGATGATCTCGCTCATAAAATCCTGTTAACTTTTTTTCCGCCCCGGAAAGAAGCACGATAAATAATTATCACAGTCTGAACTATACGTCTAATCCCTACTTGCGCCCTACTTGCGGTACACAGCTTACATGACTAATCTACACACGGCCGCAATTATACCTCATTATTTCCAAAATATTCAATTCGTCGCTACGAGACTCGTTACATACGTATGTATATATGTATAGATATACAGAATGTATCAGGTGTCGTGCGCTTTCTCTCAACTACAGACATTAACCAAATACAATATCCCGACAGTATTAAACTGAAGACCGAAAATTTTTAATGAATGAAATGACAGATGTCATTCAAATAAAAAAAAAAACCGAATCTTCTCTTGCACTTAAATTAAGTTTATATCATGAGCTTTTTGAATTTAAGGTATTTAATGCTAAAACGGGAAAATGAAATGTTTCACTAATGTAAATTGATATTTTAAATCCGTAGTAGATGGAAGGTGCACGAGATCCGCGACCGATATATATATATGTATATATATATACGTTTAAAAAATGCAACGCTATAGTACGAGCGAACCACATCGCTACATTCTCCCTCGCGTCCGCAGAATGTACAATCGAAGATAAATTAATTACAATTGTCGTTTGAGTCCTCAACGGGGGCCCAAGAAGAGGTTCAATTAATATTCACACATTTTAATATTTTTGTCTTTGTACAAAAAAAGAAGCGCGTCTCTTATTGGTCTGGTAATAAAATAGTACCTCGACGGAGACTCTGCGTGCGGATCGACTCTCGAACGGAGAGGGATCCTATCACGCGAGTTCCTTGTTGCACATCAAGATCCACACGTATTTTTTCTTTCCTTTTTCTTTCTTCTCAATTTTTATGCACCAATATGGTGTACGGTTTAGACACTCAGGCTCTAAATAATACCTAGCCGAGTTTTACCCGTTTTTATCGGACAACATTCGTCCGGATTCGTCCCGAAACTAAAATTGGCCGTTCACCGTTTCTTACTCATGATTGAAGTCGTTTTTGTACTGTCCAATTTGACCTCGAACCGAAAACATATCAGTGTGCAAACGTATATATTTAAAATGCACTTACAATCGCATCGCATTGTACACTTAAAATGCTTTATAGAGGCCGGTTATTAATTTCGTTCACGGTGTCATTTCAAAGAATTTAAGATTTAATAAAAAGCCTACAAATACCGAGAGTTCATGTCTCGGCTATCTGCTGCGTTATCGCAAACGCATCACACCTTCAAGTCTAAGCGCACGATCCTGAGAGTTCACCTTCATTATTCGTAAAACGCGAATTCATCTATCGCAAACGCTAGGCACTCCTCAACACGCTTTCGACTCGCTTCGACGTCATTCATTCTTAAGAGAGTTCACCAGAGAACGCGGCACGCCAACGTAACGAACAGGTCCTAAATGGTCCTAACGCATGTATGCGTTCATTTTCACGCCATTACGCTCATGCTTCTCTCTCGTTCTTTCTGGTTCTCGCTTCACTGGGTCCCGCGGGTCGCCTTACTGTCAGGGTCTGACGAGAGGCTTACCTCCGTAGGGAGCGGGATACTGTCCCGTCAACAGGGGATACCCGAGGCCCACATGAGTGTGATGATGCGTGTGCACGTGTCGCTGTGGAGGCGGCGATCTGTTATCCTTGCCGAGACTACCACCGCTAGCATCCACCGCACCTTGTTGCTGCTGCTGACTACCCGGTTGACCTTGCTGTTTTCCAGACGGCTGCTGACCTTGGCCCGGCGGTGGACCCGGGCCTGCAACTGACGTAGGTGGACCGCTAGGGGGTCGGGCAGGAGTCGGACCCGCTGAAGATGGGCTGGCAGACGCTGCGGAAGTTTTGGGCGTCGGTGATTTAAGCGCGCGCTCCTGAAGCTCATGAATCTTGTGCGCCGAGTAATACTGATTAGCGTGGTGTTGGAGCAAGTCCAATGCTTTTCCGCCGGGTGGCCGACTAAGGTCCTCCGGCGCATGATACCTAGGCAGCTGGTGAAGATAGGGATTACTCGAATATGGACCGGGCACCAGCATGGGGCTGAGGCCGCGGTAGACTGGATGACCTGGATCGAATGGCAGCGCACCATAATGTTGTGGCTGCATATAACTGGGATGAATATAAGCGTACTGCGAGGTAGGCGGCGGCGGCGGTCCCTGAGTCTCCATCGTCGGCTTTACGCCCTCTTGCTTGCTCTTTGAATCTTCACTCTTTCCGAGATCCTGTGGTTTTTCCTGCTTCGGCTGATGCTTTGGACTAGGCGGTGGCACCTTTGCTTGTTGACTCTGTTTGCTTGATTCTTCTTTTCTCCTCTGTTCACTCGGATACAGATAATACCTCCTGTCGTCTTGAACAGGTCCCGGAGGAGGCGGCGGCGGTGCCGCTCGTTGACTCTGCGAACTGTGATAGACGTGGTACGGACTCATCTGACTCTTCATTTCGATACTCTCCTTGAGTATCTGATGATTTTCGTGCTGTTTGTCTTTTAGACTCGGTTGTGGCTGTGGCTCCTGCTTGATCTTAGCTTTTTGTTCATACGATTCCGGATCCTGCGATTGCTGACTACTCTGTTGCTGCTGTTGTGAAACCGGCTGCGGTGGCTGGTAGGCGTAGCCTGGCGGCATATAACCACCGTAACCGCCGTAATAGTGCGGCTGCTGTTGCGGCTGCGGTACAGGTTGGCTCAGCTCTTTCTTCTCTTTTTCCGATACGACGCTCTGCAAGCTCGCCATCGAAGGCATCTGCGGTATGTTGAGCGGTTTTATCTCCTGTTTGGGCGTAAGATCGCTCGGCTTCTGATCTACCACCGGTTTGCTGTCCGAAACGTTGGACACCAGATAAGGCGGCTGACCATAGTACTGATACATACTGAAATGCGCAGGCAGATGCGCTGGCACCGTGGCCTTGTTGTCTTTTTCCTGACTCTGTTTAGATTTGTCCACCGGTTCAGCCTCGAGCACTGGCGCTGCGTCATCAGATATATCCGAGTAGGCCGGGCTTTGTACATCATCGCGCGCCGAATCGACGATTGGTGCCTCAAGAGGCGATGGGTGCGGACTGCCACCAGGTGATTTTCGCGATTTTTTCTTGTATCCCTGCGGTTTGGGAGCGCGTGCATCTGCGCTCGTCTTGCTTTTGTCCTGCTCTGGCATCAACGCAGCAGTGGGTTTCACCTTGAACTGTGGCATCTTCGCCGCAGCAGCGTGCAGCGATACCGCAGTTGGATACTGTTGCAAGTGCGATTGCACGACCTGACCTGGATGACCTGGCGGTGGCGGTGCCGTCTGTAAACCCGCTGCCTGCTGCGACACTTGGCTTGCAAGATTCTGCAAACCCGCGTGCTGACTGGCTATGCTTTGTAGGCTGGCTTGTTGCTGTAATCCAGACGGCTGCACCACATGGGCTTGCGCAGGCTGACCCAATTGAGCTGACAAAGGATGCTGCACCGATTGCAATTGATGCGCTGGTGGCAGCTGTTGTTGAACCGATGACTGCAGTTGCTGCTGTTGCTGCTGCTGACTGCTGACGCCAGGCTGTAACTGCTGTTGTGGCGGTTGGCCAACTTGCTGCAATGACGGCTGTGGTTGTTGCAGAAGAGGATTCTGCGATTGATGCGATTGTTGCATCTGAGACGGTTGCGGTGGTTGCGGTATATTGAGGGGCTGGGGGATATTCGTACTTGGATGGGGCGAAGGCACAGGCCTGGGGGATTGACTGGGATGGGGACTGGGACTTTGGGGCGGATTCGACGACCCTAAAGACGATTGATTCTGTTGCTGCTGCTGTTGTTGTTGCTGTTGCTGCTGCACGGATTGCTGCTGCTGTCTCGATGGCGCCGTAGAAGTGGGCGCCGGAAGATCGTCCTGGCCGAACCTGAGTACGCCCGGTTTGACAATGCTCTTGTCCGCGAGCACAGGCGTAGGCGGTTCTATGCTGGGCGATGGGACTCGCGGGGGTGGTGGCGGCGTTTCCGGTGGCAGTCCCGCTGCTGGTGGACTCGCTGCTCTCACCGGCGTGCCTTCGGGTTTGTCCGCCGGCGACTTCACTGGCGTGGCAGGGCTTGGTGCTTCGATGTTGCTCTCATCATTTTCCGACATACTGGTGATACCTTCTTTGGTGTCATCATCGTCGGCGGAGCCGTGCGCGTGGCTCTGATGGTATTTCAGTCCATTAATGTGTTTGTACTTTTTACTACAGTTGGGCTCGGGACATTCGAGCAATACTGGACTAGCAGGTGGTGAACCGCTGGGTGGCGTCGGTGGCGGCGCCCGTCGCTTGTTCTTTTCCTGCTCCTCCTCGGGTCCACGCGACTTCCGCTTCGCCGCCGGATCCGGTCGTGGCGGCACAAACGCCGCTGGGCTTGGACTAGCCGCTGGTGAACCTTGTGCGCCCCGACGACCTTTGCCTCCGTTGCGTAGCTTACTGTGCACGGAACTCCTTGTCTCCGTGAAGTTGCTCAAGTCGTTGCCGGGCGTGGAGTTGGCCGCGGCGCGGCCGCGTTTACCGCGACCCTTAGGCGTGCGGGCATCTAAATCACTAGTTGGCGAGTCACAGAAACGTGGTGGCGCCCAGTCATGACGCGTACAGTCCAGCAACGTCCCGACGTACGTCTTGCCTCGCCACGTAACATTTACTACTAATACACCTATAACAAAGAAAAAATATCTTGATTATAAATAATAAAAGCGATTCTTCAAGTAATTCTTAATTGTTTTTTTATCCATAATTTTGGTTTGCCAAGATGTTTACTGAAATTTCGTAAAAAAATTCCCTAAGAATTCCCGGATTTCCTAAATATTTATGTTTTTATAATTGATTTAGAGGAATAGTCCTATCTCAACAAAGAAAACTTTCAAAGGTTGCATGAACGTTCTAGTGAATGCGGTCATTTATCAGTAATTTCTGATTAAACAAAAACTTATGTATGTCACGACTTAACGTAACGTTTCGGTTAGCAAAACGATTCGGTTTCGAGCAACAGAAATAAATGAAGAAGAAAGAAAGCAACAAAAATCTCGTGTGTTGGACAAAGAAATATGACTGTGTATATCATTTTGCTGACGGAACAACGCGTAAAGTTACAGCGAAGGAAAAACCGGTCCTAAAATACGGCGGTTTTAACCCCCGGGAGCCTCTCCAGCAGTTTCATCGCGTAATAAGTTTCGTGGCAACCTGCGACGAGCTAACTCGCGTCTGTTTCCTTCCTTCCCTCCTCTTCGTTCTTGCGCGATCAGCGCTGCTAATTGAAAATATCTCGCCTGTACACGTGTAAGAAAACGCGACGTTTCGCAGGTGATCTCGACGATGATGCTGCAGGTGTTCTCGACCGCAGAACTCTCGTGTTCCATACAAAGTGCGCAGCTAAATTACTTTCGCGTTCGCGTAATAGGGAGAGTCAGCGTAAATCGAATCGGCACCGCGGGGAGCCGCACCAGATTCAAATGTCAAAGTTTCAGGGAATGAACGATGTGATCTTCAAGTGAGCGAAAGGGATAGTTTTATATTAACGTTGTCCTTTGGTTTCATTTGACGCTCGCCTTTAGAATTTCACTCTTGTTGTTTATCAAATGTTAGACAAGAGCAAATAATGCTCGCGAGAATTGTTGTGAATGCCAAGTGGAATGCATCCTCGGAGCGTCACTTCGCATCGTGAAAGTATTAATTATAAAGCTAAAAAAAGAAAAAAAGAAGGATCGGTCTTTTAAAACGTGAGACCATTAAGAGAATGCTGAAATTATCTATAATATCGACGAAACGTGCATTTCGTACTTTACCATTTTCTTTATTTTTTTCTTATACAGAATAAAAAATCCTTCTCTAAAATAAAAAAAATGCAAACAGCTGCGAGAAACTACAAATCTGTATAAAAAACAAAAAAATAAATCATATTATAGTTTCTTGTTACCAAGAGAGAGTTATTTCTTTGCACGATACAAATGATTCCAAATATTATTTAAACAAGAAATAGTTTTCCACATTTAAATAATGTATAAGAATATGAGCTCTTTAAATTATAATTTTGAAGTTTACGAGAGAAAATAAATTGCAAAGTAGAATTTGAGTGTAGATAACCTTGCATTTATAAGATACAGCAGAGCAAGAAATGTACGTAACGTTTTATTTAATGTTTTTCTTAATGCACGTAATATTGTTTTATCGATATCGATCAAATTTGACCGCTCCAACAACATCTTAACGTATAGTGTTTCGCCATAAAAGTATTAATTGTAAAGTTAAAAAAAGAAACCTAAGAGAGATCGCTCTTTTCAAACCGTTAAATTTGAGAGAAAAGATATTTTAAATGCGTAGTACCAGCCGGAGATCAAGAGTTCATAGAAAAAAAATTCTTTATTTTCATCGTTTGGATTAACTCTTTCTTTAGAAGGTGATTCTCTCTCGATGGGGTATCGTTTAAAAATAGATACCTCCGGAATGAAAACGTCCATGGAAGATCGCCGAAACGAGTCTCGTCGTTTGCATCTGTGGGTTGGTTCCTTCTTCGCGGACTCAGATCGTGAATCGAGAACCGAAAATAAAGGAACGAGTGGCGCGTCTCGTCCGGGGGAAAAATAGAGGCGTGCATAAAGAGAACAATAAAAACAGCGGAAGTTCCAAGCCGACTGAAGTTTCTAAAAGCCACATGACACCGTGTTTCTCCTCCATCTGTCAGACACACGTCTCGCTCTTTTTCTCTCCTGTTTCGAGGGTGAGACGATATGTCTCGTTGCTCCTTTCTTCACCCCGCGGCATGTCCCTCATTTCGCTCTGTTCCTCTTTTTCCTTCCTTCTCGTCACGCGGCACAAACCTCGGGGCATTTTGGTTGATTGAGTCGTCCCCTCGCGCATCGACGTCATTCCCATTTGCTGCGGAAGATAAACGTATGGACAAGCACCAGGGGATGCTGATAAATCCGCACATCTCATCCCCGTTATGCGCCTTTTCATCCCATCCACTTCTAAGCCTCGTTTCCCCTCAAACTAACGTTACTTCCTTTTATTTTTCTTCTTTCATGTGTACTTCTATGCGAACCCCGATAATGGTCGAGTGAGGGATAAATGACCAAATTACCCTCTAATAATTTGAAGAGACATTCAATCTCACATCGGTATATATATATATAATATATAGTGTGTATATATATATATA